ACATTGGGATTTTTCAGACCTTGCCAGAAGTCTCAATGCCACGAATGCAGCACACATACAGCAGAGTCCAGGCAGCGAACAGGGCCAGCACCATCCACCACTGCAAACTTCCAGGGTCATCAATGGCTGCTGAAGTGTTCAGAGTCTCTCTGTACCAGAAGTAGTCAACAGTGGTGCTCCGTGCGCACTCAGCCACTAAACCTGCAAACGGCACGTAAAGAGCAACTTGATGGCAGGCTAACCATCGCATAACGTTCTATTGTAACCTCTTGTTAGATTAAGGCACACCTGTGCTGTTAGCATTGAGAGGGCATTGGCTCCAAGGCAGAGGATCTTGAAAGGAGTTGAACAGGTACCACATGATCCAGGCCATGATGGTGTTGTAATACATACCCACCAAAAGTGAGACAAGTAACGATGCAATGCCTGCAAAAGAATAAAGAAAGCAGTGGAAAAACTCACAGTGATTATCTGCTTAAGATGTGGGCCATGTTTGCTAGCTTATTTTAGCATGACAGCATAGTAAGTGCTATGTTTATATATGTTACATATGATATATGCTTGGCAGGAATTTGGCCTCATTGTGGTGCTCAGTGTACACTTAAGTGATCCAAATATTGAGTGTTTTTTTGTTGCTTGGATAGGAATGATTACTCGGTCTGTATTTTGTATTAAAACATAGCTTGAGTAACCGTTGCTGCAAAAGCAAACCTAATGGAAGAACAGCAGAATCAATTTCATCCTCTAAAAACTCTAAATTACTTAATACATGAGATATTTAGCCATTACGGGAATTATAACTTATTGCTGTCTGTGGAGCCATTTTGCCAACATAGACACAATAAAACACAAAGATACGAAGGCGCACACACCCACACACATGCATGGGTTTTTTTGTACACACCAACTCCAGTCAGGTAAGGGTTGATTGCTCTCCACACTCCCACGCTGCCCTTTCTCAGGCGCTGACCGATGGCAAACTCTAAGTGCAGCAGCGGGATTCCCTCCAGAACCAACAGGATAAGGAACGGGATCATAAACGCTCCTAAAAGCACAACATTCACATTCATAATGAATTAGCAAAGTGGTGAGATTTTCACTTTATTAGACACTTTAACAAAGGAAACTAAGCACAAAGATACTTGTAAACTGTGAAAAGCAGCTTTTTATTAGCTAAACTAGGAACTGTACAAACCAAGAATAAGACTCACACATTACCTTACCCATAGCATTTATCTCAAGAAAGACTTTCTTTTTTTGAGTTTCATTAAATAGAAATAAAATTCAATAAAAATATAAGATAAGTCAGTATCTATATCTGATTATTTATGGTGAATAAAACAGGCATTTCCATAATTCATACTGTGGGGTTCTTTGTGTTGATACAACATGTCTGCATGCTTCGTCTTATCACTTGGTTGTAACCTTTTAACAAAAGCATTTCTCAAATGGTATAATTTCTTTCTAATCACTAAATTCCATAGTGTCCTTTTGTTAGCAAAAACAAAGTAAATCCACTGATATTTTCTTTTGTGGCATCTAGTCTATATTCAAATATCTTTCCCATCTACTGCCCCACACGTCCCTGCATACCTCCTCCGTGGCTTTGACACAGGTACGGGAACCTCCAGACGTTACCGAGTCCCACGCAGAAGCCCACGCAGGTGAGGAGGTACTGGGCTTTGTTGTCCCATTTGGGCCTGTCCCCAGCCTCCTCGGTTTCCATCCTTTCCAAATCTTCATGAGATGGGATTCGGTCATCCAGTCCTGGGTTTGGTAATTTCAGCTTCATGGTGGCTTGCTGTAAACCTCCTCCGTGCAAAAAAGAAATTGTAAATAAGAGCTTCTGTGTCTCTCTTCAATAAGAAGTTCTGTTACTTTTGTAAATTTTTAAGCAACTGAGAGGATTCAGAAGTAAACCTCCTCTGTGCAGT